AAAATGCACCAAAATGATTAACAAAAAAAAAAAAACAATTAAAATACATTAGAACAAAAACAACCAAACTTGAGTTAAAATGATCGTTAAGGTTACTGAAATGATGTTAAATAAATTAAGAATCGTGCAAATCGATGACAATATTTAAAGAATCGTTTATATTTTTGAGTTCTGGCTCTAGATAGTGTTTATTGTATCTCTGACCTGAACGAAGAAGGAAAAAAATCTCAGAATTAAAACTTTTTGCCAAATATGCACAGATATGTACGTTTCAGCCAATATCGAACCTGATAACTGATATTTACAGATATTACACAAACACACAAATTATTTATARACATATACACACAAACACACTTGTGTCTTTTTTCGATACCGTATYAAACGAGCAGACTGCTGACATGGCTCCTCTTCAGTTACTCCTGGCTGTTCTGATCAAACATCTCCKCTCCCTAAACAGAAACACAAAGATAACAAGTGGGAAATCTATACTGGACGTTAATATCGACCCAGTTTGACTTATTGGAAAGATACCGATATTCTAAAAAATGACCAATATCAGCTGATATGGATGTTAGTGACTAGCATGCCAAAGTTTTAAATGAACATCTTGTGATCTGGTAAAGCTCAGAGCATTAGTTGGAGATGATTCTCAGCTACTACCATGCCCAATTTCTGCTCAATATCCTAAAAAATCAAAGAGTTTTATGTTAGTTTTTGTGTTTGTTAAACCTTTAGACCTTTAAAAGACCGGTGTCTGATGTGTCCCAGTTCTGTAGTTATTTAACCCAGTTTTATTGTAACTATTTTTTGAAAAGTAGCTCAAGTTTTTTTTGCCAAACATATAAAAAATAAAGTGTTTGTCACTTAAGAAATTTGTCTGAAGGGTTTGGATCATGTCAGGTCTGAAATCTGTAAAAGACAGAAAGTAAATTCAGGAACCAGGTTGTGTCTCAGTCCTTCAGCAGAATAATCCAGGTCAGGATTCAGGTGTGTGGAGGACAATGAGACGCCAAGTGTAAAATGAAATGTTAACAAAGCATATTTTTCATTATTTAGCTCATTTTTACTAAATGTTCAATTTAAACGTTAAAAAATATATTTAACTAGTAAATCCTTTAAATTTAAATGTAAAAGTTAAACCTTAAATGTTGAAGTTCACATTTAGGTATTTTGGAATGGAACGCAGCCTTTGCTGTTGGTGCTCGGCTCATGTTGTGATGTCATCATCCTGAGACGATAGCAACCGCTAGCTTCAACGCAACTAAAGCTTCCCTACAAGACATCAAACCTGCAGTTCTGGCTGCTGGACCACAGAAACCACCCTTATTGTTTTAATGAACATATTTTGAATTTAGATTTTAAATATTATCTTCAGCAGAGTTAGCAGCGTTAGCAGAAGTTAGCGTCAGATAACCAGGATGATGTCATCATCCTGCGACAAACAATAACAATAGATACATTTAGATTGAAACATTTAGATTTAGGATATCATATTTAAATGAATTTTTTAACATTTAAATTTAACATTTCGTAAAAATTAGCTAAATGTAACAACAGTGAGCTAAATAACAACAAAAAAGACTAATTCATATTCTTTCTGGCGTATTTTTAAGTCTGATTTTCAAGTCTTAAAAAAAATCCACGTCACGTCTTAGAGCTGCAGATAAAGTTGTTTTGTCAGGTTGTTTAAGCTGTAAAACAAAAAGTATTTTTAAAGGTGTCTGTTTGGGTCAACACTTTAAGAGAAACATCTTCCTGTTTTCTTCTGAATAAAAACATCTTATGTGTGAAATACATCAGTTTTATTTTAAAAACTGTTACATGACAGCATTTGAGCCATGTTCTCTGAATAACCCCTGTATCTTATGGTCACAGCTTCTTTACTTCCTCTCAAAGCGTTCATGTAACCTCTATAAATRCAGCAAAACAACATAATTACACTGTAAACAATCGCTTCAGGTCCAATAATGGCCAAGATGTAACTTTAAACCTTTGCTTTATTTGATTTGCCTGGATCGATATCTCTTCAGCTCGTCTCCGTCTCTAATTAAATATAAAAATAACCCATGATAGAAAAAGTAAAACTCGTGGGTATTATATAAAGTATTCCTTTAGTTTGACTTTGCAGTAACTCAGATTCTGACTCAGATATAAAGACTAACTGGTTGCAGCTCTAAGATGAAACGATCAGTTACATCGGCTGCTTTAAAGGCTGGATGTGGTGCATTGCAGAGTATAAAAACACCATATGGCTGTGCTAAAAATGATCTGAACAGGGTGCTGTGGATTGTTGCTAAGGTGTTGCTTTGTGTTTGCTGCCAAGATGTGAAGTTTCAGGAGTTATTTCTGGTTACTGCAGTAACAGTTCACTCCCTTGATTTCACTTCGAGACAACGATGGTGAGTCACAGCTGGAGCAGAAGACTGACATCGCTGATGAAAGATGTCAGGATGTGTCATTTTCACAGCAGACSTCGGTTTATGAAGGATGATCTGARGCTATGAGCTGCGTGGTAGCTTGTTAATGGAGCGAGTGTAGAAGTGTTGAAGCATCCTGACAATCCACCATAAAACACTCTGACCTGTGACGACCAGACGCTTCAAGTCCAGGAGTTTCAGGGTTTTGTTCTCAGCGAGGGAACATTAGAGACTGATGGGTTCTGATTCTGCAGTAATGGACTCTGTTCTGGTTTGTTGTGGTGAAGATGTCCCTGTTTACCTGCCGGTCTACGTTCCTACCTTCACCTGTGAGGACCCTAATGGGTTTTCTCTGCAGGGTAGCTGGACTCTTATGGACAGGCTGAGAAGATCAGTTCTGCAGGAAAGACTCAGAGTAGATCTGCTGCTCCACATCCAGAGGAACCAGCTGAGGTGCTTCATCTAACAAGACCTCTGCACATGTCCAACTGGGAGGACAGCCTGGACATGTCCAACTGGGAAGAAAGCCTGGACATGTCCAACTGGGAGGACAGCCTGGACATGTCCAACTGGGAGGAAAGCCCAGGGAAGACCCAAGACAGGCTGGATAGACCATGTCTGGCCTGAGAACACCTTGGAGTCCTCCCAGAAGAGCTGGATGGATAAATGATAATGGTAACCCAATGGGCCACTGGCAGCTTTAACATTTGTGTTCTTGGTTCTCTTTACTACAATTTATACATCAAAACATCCCATTTAGTCAACTTTAGAGAAGAAATTTAACCTGTTTTTCTATAAATATTTTGCTTTTGACTGTTAGTAGTTTGTCATAAACATCTCATCTGGTCCACTGAATGTTAAAACCGTCTCAGGCGGACCAGCTTGTCCAGATTTTTCCTACCTGCCTGACTGGAGTCCAGCTGAGAACAGCTTCCTGGCCTGCAGCTAAAAACACAACATATGGTTAAAGAACAGGTGGAGGACCTCAGCTCTGATGTAACAAACTCTCCTCGAGCAGTTTTTACTAACTGCTTCTGAGATGCAGAATTTTCTCCTCAAAATTTGATGTATTTGGAGAATGTCGTCATTAAAAAACAGATAAATTGTTTATTACAATTAATTGTGTGTGTGTGTGTGTAATATATATATATACTGTATAAACCCGTTGTTTATGTTTTTATACAGATTCAGCTGAAGGAGATTTTTGAGACAGACACCGACATCGCCCTGGTGTTGGAGCTGGTGACCGGAGGAGAACTGTTCGACCGGTAAGAACTGAACCAAACTGATTTATTAGTTTGTTGTGGGGTGGGCCYTACTGTGAYTTTAGGTTTTGWTTCAATACCAAATAAATACAGGAGCTGATATCAATACAAATACAGATAKTTTTAACTTGAAATCTCACTCTTTGACATATTCTGTGATTTTGCCCTCAGTTAGTCGATTATAACAGTGATTTCCAACCAGGGGTACGTGTACCCCTAGTGGTACGTGAGCATATTACAGGGGGTACGTGGAAAAATTTCCCAGTTCTGTAAAACAAAAAATAAAAAAATAGGACAGGGATATGTCAGTCCCTATGATTTCTACAATGTGGAAAATACAGACTGAACCACAGAATTGACAAAACAAAATGGAATCCAGTACAAAACGCAGAATCTTACGGAATGTGCTCATTTCTGTGAGTTTCTGATGTATTTTGGACGCTGTCGCTTCCTGTACCTGCAATGACCTGGTTTATTTATTTAATTACTTATTCACCTTTTAGGCAAAATATTTATCTTTGTTAAGGGGGTTCAATGAATAGTTTTGGAGAATCATCATTATGTTTGACTGAGGGGGTACCAGTGGTACGGCAAAATGGCTCAGAGGGTACACAAGTCTGAAAAGGTTGGGAACCACTGGAAGTTTTATATCAACTAAGTCCAATGATGTAAAATCTTCTACACAATTTGTTTAAGAAAAGTCACTAATGTAATAAATAAAATAAGTGACAAATAATGAAAAAGCAACAATGTAGCATAAATATATAAATATAACAACACATACCTTGCATTGTTTGTGTGAATAATGAAGAGAAAAGGTTTCTACTAATGACTAACACCAAACAATTTGGAGAATCTACATTATTTTTCACTTTATTTGTGAAAAATTAAGTCAGTACAAGAAAATAAAATGTAAAAAATGTATTGATGTCATCACAACAGTATTGATCCTACACTGGTACGCATCTTGGTATCGATACTATGGATATTTTATTTTGATACACCCATCTCTAGTTTGTATAAGTTACAGGAGACCTTTTGGTGTTTTATTGGTTCATTTAATTAGAGGTGTTTCCCTGCAGAAGCCAGGCTAAGCTGAAGTGTCTCTCCTGTTTATGATTCAGCTCCAGGTGTTTGRTGGTGAATGAGTCGGTGGCTCATTTCGTCTCCGCTGTTGTAATAATTGCAGCAATGCTCTGTTGTAGCTGTTAGCATTGGGTGGTATTAAACCCTATCACTTATATGACATCTGCCTCAACCGGATGGGTTTGGAGGATGTAATAATACATCCATGTCCCTAGAGCCGGTCTTTGTCAGCAGAAATCAGCACACAGGAATCCTTCGCCTGCTGCCTGGCACATATTGCACCCGACTTTGATGGTCCCCCCCCCCCACAGGTGGTGGGTCCACGTGGAGGTGGCCGGCCGAGCCCCAGAGGCCAAGGCTCGACCACTAGGTGCTCGCCATCAGGTACCCCAGTTTCCCTATTCCGGGCGAGGTTTCCTGATGTAGATGTTTCCTCATCAAGGGTTCTGAGTCGCACTTGGTCTGACCCCTCCCCTGAGACCTGTTTGCCTTGGGAGACCCTACCAGGGGCTAATGCCCCAGACAACATAGCCCCCGGGATCACGGGGGTACTCAAACCCCTCCACCATGTTAAGGTGACGATTCTGCCTCAAGTGGAGGAGTTTCAGTATCTGGATGTCTTATTCATCAGTGATGGTGGGATGAAGCGGGAGATGGATCGACGAATTGGAGCCTGTTCCTCAGCAATGAGGGCATTGCTTCGGTCAGTCGTGGTGAAGAAAGAGCTGAGTCAAAAAGCAGAGCTCTGGATTTACTGGTCTGTCTTCGTTCCAAACCTCAGCTGTAGTCATGAGGCGTGGATCGTGACCGAAAGAACGAGATCCGAGATACAGGCTCACGAAATTAGCTTCCTTCGTAGGGTGGCCGGGCTCAGCCTTAGAGAGAGGGGGAGGAGCTCTGTCATCTGGGGGGAGCTTGGAGTAGAGCCGCCGCTCCTCCACATTGAAAGGAGTCAGCTGAGGTGGTTCATCTGACTAGGATGCCTCCTGGACGCCTCCCTTTAGAGGTGTTCCAGGCACATCCCACTGGTAGACCGTCCCAATGGTAGACCATCCCACTGGAAGACCCAGGACTCTCTGGAGGGATTGATTATGTATCCTCTCTGGTCTGGGAACACCTCGGGGTCCCCCAGGATGAGCTGGAAAGTGTCCCTGGGGAGAGGGAGGTCTYGGTTTCTCTCCTGGACCTGTTGCCTCCACGGCCCGAGGACAAATACATGGAATCCACACTGAAATATTGATTCAGTCACATCAAAGCAAAACTATATCATCATCATATCGATCGCAGACTTGTGGATTAATGGTAAATGACTTGAACTTATAGAGCGCCTTATTAAGTCCACTTGGACCCCAAGGCGCTTTACACTTCACCCATTCACACACTGATGGTCATTAGAGATGTGACGTTCYCGAACGATAGGAATCTTTTGAACGGCTCTTTACAACAAACGATAGGAGCCGAATCGTGGGCAGTAACGAGCCATTTGTAGTTTTATTTCTTTTATTTCTCATATAATGTTTATTTTTTTCATACTTAAATTGCTCCCGTTTGCTTTTTCATGGAAAACAGGCAGAGTTTTAGTGTACAGAAGCTCACAGTAAAAGCGGGAGGGGGTTTCTGCTTGACAAACACATGGTTCCACCCACGTGACAGGATTACGTAATTACGTATGGCTACATGATGACGTATTTCCCTACGTGATGACATAATACGTTCAAAATCTAACGGCTCTTTTGAACGGCTCTTTGAAAGAAACYGCTCCCCAAGATCCGGATCCCTTCAGAGAGCCATTTATCCCATATCTAATGGTCGTAAGCTACATTGTAGCCACAGCTGCCCTTGGGTACACTGACAGAGGCGGGGCTTCCATGCACCGGCGCCAACAGACCCTCTGACCACCATCAGTAGGCAAGGTGGGTGAAGTGTCTTGCCGAAGGACACAATGACTGAAACGGCTGGACAGGGGATCAAAACGGTGACCTTCCGGTTCCAGGACGACTCCCCTAACCACTCCACCACAGCCGCCCCTTTTAAATTTAGTCAACTTAATGACAGAGAAACGTATCATCATCCAAACAAGTCAAGAATTTGTAAATCTCAACATTGTTCACACAGTCTTGTGTCTATTATCAGACTTCTTCAAGATCGCGTCGCTTTCGGCCAACATAGGGCAAAGCTTCAAGACCAGCGTAGCTAATCTATCCTTACAAGTCATTGCCTGAACCACTGGGTTTCCTAAAATACCAACAGCATCACTGAGTATCCTGGTTGGACAGAAAGGAGCTACATAAGTACTATCCATTTACCATTTCTCAATAAAACTTGATTTCTAACCACACGCAGGCTGTCCTCCATCTCATGAACGCCATGCAGAGGATTTCCTGTTCTGCCCTGCAGCAGCTTTTATTTTCTACGTTTGTTACAACTCAGCTGTACCACAGGCAGTGCACCGGTGTAGAGTTATTTATAGCCTGGTGAAAAGGTTTTAAATGTGTTCAGTGATAAAACTTTGGTAAATAAAGTTATTAAAACAACCTGTTTAAAGGACAGGAAGTTGTTGCTAAGTGTTTATTATTAGAGCAGCCCTCAGAGTGGAGGCTGCACAAACTGAAGCTAGAAGAACTCCTCTTCATCGCCCACAGCCTCTCTGAACCTGGTGTCTCGGCTGCACAGTTTGATCACTGCTGCAGGTTTGGTTTCATGTAAAACCTGCTGCTTCTCTGTTCAGATCAATGTGAAAATCGATTTATTTAATCGTACGTTGTTAAATAATTTGGTTCCATCTATGAGATGAAGGTAAAACTGGGTAAAGAAACATTGAGGTTCAGTTAAAGGAAAATATGTTTTTCAGTTAGTATCAGCTGAAGCTGCTGTTTTGGTGACGTGTTGTGATATTTTAAATCCCAGATGAATAAAGTTTTATTACTAGATTACTACGTTCCTATTCTTAAAAGTATTTTCTGTGTCCAGGATCGTGGAGAGAGGGTACTACAGCGAGAGAGACGCAGCCCACGTCATCAAACAGATCCTGGAGGCCGTGGCGGTAAGATTCAGGACATGTGTTATCATCAGACATTCATTTGTTTCCTGTTCAGAGTCCATCACAGAGACACCTGGACATGTCCCCTGTCCATCACAGAGACACCTGGACATGTCCCTTGTCCATCACAGAGACACCTGGACATGTCCCTGTCCATCACAGAGACACCTGGACATGTC